TGTGTGGGCGCCAAGACCAAGATTTCGGCTAATTAGCCAGGAGGGCTTCCTTTGTTGATGAATCAACGGCACTCCCCAGCGCCCAGCTGGCCGGCCTCTTCGAACGCTTCGGAAGGGTCACTATGTCTTCGGATTTAGTCCTGATGTTGGTATTAGAAGAGCCCTGCACCCAGTGGTTTTTGCGATTCTTCCCGGCTGCCATACACCCGCAAATGGCCATCGTTTGGTTAGCTGGAGAGAGGAGATAATGAAGGACAAAGGGCTCCTCTAAGAGTATGGTTGAATGAGGACTTATGAGGGGCGGTACTGTTTGAGGGAAGCTGTATGGGAGGCATAGGAGGGAATATACTACTGGTATAGGTATCCTTGGCCTGTAGGCAGAGAGGACCTGCATGTCCTGCATAGTCAAAGACTCAGATATGACAATAAAATGAATTAACAAAAAACCCATGGTGGACCTCCTTGTTTTCTCCGACGGTGCTATGATCGAGAATCAAGCAGTGGCCGGATACTCAACTCGACGCGGCGTGACCCATCAGATTGCCTGCGGAACCATCCCTCTAGGTGCTTTAGCAGAAGTATACGACGCAGAAATATCTGGAGCAACAGAGGGTCTATCAGCTGCCCTCCACAATCCCATGGCCTTTTGCCCAACTGAAGTTCACTTGGGGCGTTAATTGCGACTCGTTCCGGACATGAAGATTTCGCCCAATATCATCGTCGTTTCGCACACGAAGATACCCTAACGACTTGCTCCTGTGGCGAAGAAAAAAGCCTGGATCACTCCTTCTACTACAGTATAGGAAGAAAGCGTTCCCGTCTTCGCGGTGAACCACAACATCCCCACCCTGGAATGATATGGATACTCGGTTCGCCTGAAGGCGCCCTTGCCTTCAGAAAATGGGTCGAGCAGACGAAGTTCTATGATGAAATTCAACAAGCCTACTAGATGCCCCCTAGGAAAGAAAGTACTTGCTGACGAACGAATGTTGAATGGAAGGACTCACAATTCCTTCCTTCGTAGCCTTATCTTAATTCATTGTAAGCCTGTGAGCACAATGTTAAACTACTTGTAAATCAGATCTGAAGTCCCCGGTAAAGGGACATTTGCTAAACTTAAATTGGAAAGCAGAGTGGCGGACAGCTGGTTTGGTTTGGTTTATTCATTATGTGCTAGTTAAAGTGACTACCGTTGCACTCCTACCAGAGCTTAAGCAGGGGTGGGGTCGGGCTGGATCAGGTTAAATGCCATTAAGTACATCTACCTCGTCCCACCTGATTGACCGGACCACCTCAGACTTCACCTATGTGTTGAATCATACCGAGCCTGACCGTCCAGAAACCCGCTGTATACATGCCGTAGCGCAAATTCCTCCTCCGTCTCGGCCACCACGCGCCCGAGCCCTTGACACCTTTGCGATCTGTAAGTTTTCCCTTTGATTCATTCCCAGCTTTGGCTCATCTCAGCATCTCCTCATCTCATGCAGGGGTCGTTCTCTTCATTGGAGGCCTCATCCAGTCGCCCACCAAGACCTCCTCAGTTTGTATTCCCTTTTGGTTCCTTCATACAGCATCCCTCGGTCCTTCAGCCGATCTCGTCATCCCAGAAACTTTGTAGGATGTCTACCCCTCCGGCCTTGTCCCTTCGATGCTGTACCCCTAACCGTGGAGGTCGAAATGTGACTGAGAGCTCAAGACCGAGGCATCGGTGCCCCAGCCTTTGTCGAATGCTCTAATTGGTGTGCCGGCGAAATGTCGTACGTATTTCGTCGGTGGCAATTCGTCACAGGTCAAGTTGTTGGTGCCCTTGGCCGCGGTAGGACGCATTTAAGGCCGGTATTTCGACCGTACCTTCACAGCGACTAGCAGTTGCCGAGAGTCGGACATCATCTCGCTTTTATGTTGGCAATTAGACTTTTTTCTTGAGGAGTGTGTATACTATTTGTCCACAGGGTACAAGTGTGAGTAAATAGGGGGTCAAGGTCTTCCACAAGAAGAGATAGAGGGTACGCCGTGATCTGATACGAGTACGGGCTCGAAGTGGTCTTCACAAGGATGAGATGGAATATTTAGGTTGAGGATAATATTGAGAAGACGTTGCGTGAAGAGGGCAACTCGACTGGAGGCTACGCTTTATTATGTACATGCTCGTAGTTCACTGTTACGCTACCTTTCCCTACTCAGGCCTGCTAGATTTGTATGCTAATAGTAAACCATCATTCTAACCCCTGTTATTATTTCGTGAAATTTTGGAGGTATGGGATTGCTCCGGTAGGTGATGAGATGATTGTGGAGAGGGCCGCGAGATGATGATGATATTTTTATCGTGACCGGGTACTACCCCAGCACCCAGAGGGCATGGCACTGGTAGTCCAGATCTAATTATGACTCTTCGCTGCATACATCATTATTTTGTAGAAACCTAGAAACACAAAACTGAAAGCAAATAAAATCACCATTTCTAAGGTGCGAGTGCCCTGCAATACACCTTAATCCTCGTACCACACCGAACGATCCCAAGAAGCATCACAGTTGACCTTTACACTCCTTGCTCACTATTCAATCTTGATGTAACACTCTGTCAAAGTTAAGAAACGCCAGAATTTCTGCCATCCTTCCTGCCCTATCATATCCCTGATCGTAGGACGTGGTTCCTTTGTTTCCATCCTCCATTTCTGGATAGTCGGGCGACACTCTGCAAAATGCCATGGCCGCTTTTCTCAGCCACAGTTGCAAAGCATTTCTTCATTCTAGTGTTGGAACCATCTATGATAGCTGGCGAAGTCACCATGCCCAGTCCTTGCTGCGATGAGGCGGTGAGGCGGTGATATGCCCATCGAGGTAGAGCTAGCTCAGGAGGGCGTTTTCTCCGCATCAGTAGGTCCAGATCTTCATACATACTCGATCTGTTCTTAAGCCACCATTCTTCCGCAAGGTTTTGTACCCGGATGTTGAGTTAGCGTTTGAGAGTTGAAAAAGTCAAAACTTCGTGAGTTTTCTCCCAGATGCACTCTGGTCCCGGTATGTTTCCATTCCGATTATTTGACGCAAGGATTGCCTTTGCTATCGCATCGGCCTTTTCGTTTCCTGGAATGGCGCTATATCCCGGAACCCAGTAGACCTCTATCGATGGTCGAGTCTTGCGAATTTCCCAGAAATTCATGACCTCTACTTGCGAGGAATTTGTTCTGCCATTTTGAAGGGCTCTAACGGCCTCTTGATTGTCAAGGAGTACCTTGATATCTGTGCTACCTCCAATTTCTAACGCTGCCTCTAAGCCTCGTACTGCCCCGATGATTTCCGCATCAAATACCTCAGCTCCAGGAAGGAAATTTCCACCGCTCGCTGTAAGTTCACCGCCCCTATATATGACTTTGCCATAGGCTGAGTATGCTGGGACGGTCAATGACCCATCCGAGTAGACACAGAGTGTTCCTGGGGGGAGATCCCTGAGCCAAAACATGATCTGATCCGCCTTTTCCTCCTTGTCGCATTTGGCCCTGGGCCGCGAGATGAGTTTGGCTGGGAATGATTTTCCAGAGAAAAAGAAAAGAGATCATAAAGGTGTCGGTTTTTGTAATACGAACATCTGACAGGTTATACCCTGTCTACGGTTGGTATCTGGGGTGTAGATGGTTGATTTCGTTGAGTTGTGCAGTCGTGAAATCTCTGCAAGTCGGATTCTAGACCAAAAATGAGCCAACACTACTCCTCCCGATTGCCAAATCGACGAAAACTCTCAAATTAGCCCTTTGTCGAGCCTGATTCTCGGCTGTGGGAGAATATTTCACTCCTGGGATCTTAGAGGACACCACTTATAGGTGTCCAGCCTTCGTCCTCCCCACTATCAAGATATGTTATTGTAATATTTAACGTGAAATAGCTTACGAGGGATTAATCGATCCATGGCGTATAATTTTAATAGTTCTGTTGCTAACTCGTAGCAGGAAGTCATCTATTTTTATATTGTTTCAGGCATTTTAAAGATTCACGTAAGATTCACAAGCAGCTCTCTCAAAGTTTTTCGGAAGGGATTCTTTTGCTGCCATGACTCACCGTACTATGCCTAAATAGGCGGTATTTGTGGTCTCGGCTGCGCTGTCGCATTTGAAGTCGTATAGATCACAATCCTAAATATGAATAGTCTTTCCTAAACATCAAGATCTCACACCTTTCGAGAATATTTTAATTATTTGCATCATCTATTCCACTTGTCCTAATATCTCTCACACAAATGCCAAGAATCTTCCTCCTAGGTTTGTGCATCGAGATTTGTCTCCTCCGGTGGATATTTATATTCTCGTGGGCGTATATTTGATGGGCAGTTGACGTCACAGACTGATTTGACGAGAGTTGTATCTATTGAAACAATGATGCACTAAGTCTTACCTGCATGTTTTATAAGCTTTGCTAGGAATCGATATAATTAGAGGTCAGAGATTGATTTGATGAAATGTCTTGCATCATCAGCTCGATGACAAACTTCTTTGGTATTACGAATTTTGACTGAACTTGGCCTAAGCACTTCATTCATAGGCACAAGGAGGAAAACGCGTAAGGCTGCTTAGTATTTGCGCTCCACGGGAGGTGTTATCAGGGGGATGGAGAATGAGAGACAAAGAAAGCCTCGTGCACCTAAATATGTGCGCTCATATGATTTCGCGCTTCCTTTGCGTGAAATCTATTCAAACATGGGCCATGATTCTTTGGAATGAAGTCACTGTTTCGATTCTTGTTAACTAAGTAGTTTCTCTTCAATCGCATCGACAGTTTACAATTATATCGAAGTTGTAGCTAGTGATATAGACATGAAGTTGTTATATGGGTGTTAATTATGGTAATGTAAATTAATGAAGACAGACCGTTTATTTCTAATACTACCGGAGTTTCCGGTGGGTAACATCTCCGGGGCTAAGTTGTCCTTTCAAGTGACATATTGAGAGCTGATGGCAGCTTTTGGAAAATACCTAACTCCTCGCTTAATGGATTAACAAGTTATTTTATAGTAAATCTTTTTTTCGACTTGTCCTAGTGTACTGATTTAAACGCCATTCTACATCACCATCCTTATTCTCCAAGGTACCACCCCGAATTTCAAAACATCTCATTGTCATTCTCGGGCCTACCTCCGCCAATTCTACGCTCTGATAGCTGGTCTTGACAAAAACGTGATGCCTGAGTTCAATACTATCTTCAACATTTTTGAAAGTTACCACCCTGCTTCCCATTTTTGATCTATTTGTAATGGCCTCTCGGGGAGGGAAGAGGTGTTTGAGTATTTTGACGATCCGAAGACCAAGTTTGGACGTAAAACCTTCAAAAATAAGATGCGGGTATGATTCGCTTACGGTACCCCTAGCGCTATTTGGGATATCGTGACGAAGAACGACGTTATGAAGAGAAAATGAAGCCGTTGGTCCATGTGGGAAGTGAGAAATTGTCAACGCCGTAGGAATACCCCTGTGCTCGTGTAGAAGGATCATATCAGACAACCCCGATGCCTGGGCAGATTGAACTAAGTTGGGCAGAATTAGATTCCCACGGTTCAGTCGAATAGACGTTGGCAGTAGGAGTCTTACTTCTTTGGCAAAAGAAGATAGGCGGGTAGATGGATCGCGAGATGTTGTCACCAATATTCGGGGATCCACAGTTCCAGAAAGCTGAGAATATTCATCATCTAAGTCGAGGGCATCATTCTTTGTTAAGTCTATTTTAGATTCATCGAATTTAAAGTCTTCCCTTAGTCCCTTGTCGTTCACAATTGTAGGATCTGGCGTTCTACCGGATGCTAATGCTGCGCGTAGCTTAGCTCTCTTTTCAGATATCTCCGAATCCCGAAGTATGAGGGCTCTTCTATATAGGTAATCCCGTCTTTGACGTGCTTGTTTGCGCTGGACGAGTAATTAGTTAGCGATTTTCCTTACAGGTACACAGGAATCGTATCAAAGTTAAACTTAAGCAAGCTCTGGCATAGAATTCTGTCATATTTTTTATTGCTGACACAAAAATTAAAAGTAGGGACTCCACATACGTTCATGTTGATTAATTTTTTGTTAGGTTGAGGAGGAACTTGGTTGATGATAAATTTGATAAGACCCGCATTTACGCTAGACATGTTAATGTACATCCGATTTCTTCCCACATATCAACCTTCAAATTTTCCCACAATCCACATTACGTGCACGAAGCTCATACAAAAAACTTGAGTGGGCTTTAGTTGTAATAATAATGACTTAAACCCCAAACATCTTTCTATATCTTAAACCTAGCTCTTGAAGCCTAATATCAGATTCACAGTGAGTTCGCTACCCCTGTGCGTACACGTCGCTACGGGCTGGCCTACAGCAGAAACAGAAATACCATACCCTATCGAGATCTGTGCTAATAGAGATATTCTAGTCGTATATACCCTCTGCCATTATGGAAGGGGCATTCACTCACCTCGGGAACCATCTTATTTCAGACTCTGCAGCCGCTATAAATGCTGGTGCAGACGACTTATCAAGCATCGATCCTGATGAGAGCCTACTCTACGGCCAGTATGGAGGAAGAGATGGATTAAGCACTAACAGACGAAGAAATGATGACGACGATAACGATACAGAGGTTTTTGACGATGATGCCGAGAGTTTGGCTAGCGTACCTGTTGATGGGATGAAGAACCTAAGTTTGAGAAGAGTGGAAGACGAAAAAGAACTACCTTCTCACGCCTGCGCGTAAGTTTTTAACAGGAACTCAAGTTAATCGCTGACTGTGTTCTTAGCTACTGTGGTATCCACTCACCCAGCTGCGTTGTCAAGTGCCTAGGCTGTAGTAAATGGTTTTGCAGTGCTCGTGGCAATGCCACATCCTCTCACATTGTGAATCATTTGGTTCGTGCGAGGCACAAAGAGGTTCAACTGCATCCTTTATCTACTCTGGGAGATACTGTCCTTGAATGTTACAACTGTGGAACGAAAAACGTCTTTTTACTTGGATTTATTCCTGCTAAATCAGATACAGTCGTAGTCCTACTTTGTCGCCAGCCATGCGCCTCCACTCCATCATCAAAAGATATGAGCTGGGATATTTCACGGTGGCAACCTTTAATTGAGGATCGCTCATTTTTACCTTGGCTCCTATCAGTTCCTACTGATGCTGAACAACTTCGTGCTCGCCATCTTACCCCTCCCATGATTGCAAAACTAGAAGAGATGTGGAAAGATAACGCCAGCGCTACAATCGCTGATCTTGAAAAAGCCGCAGGAATTGACGACGATCCTGCTCCAGTACTCCTAAAGTATGACGACGCTTATCAATATCAAAACGTATTCGGACCCCTTGTCAAGATTGAAGCAGACTATGATCGCAAACTCAAAGAAGCACAATCTGAAGATGGATTGGTGATTCGTTGGGATCTTGGCCTTAACAACAAACATCTAGCTAGTTTCGTTCTCCCAAAAATCGAACTAGGTGATGTCAAGCTTGCTGTCGGTGACGAAATGCGGCTCAAATACAAGGGTGAACTGCGACCGGTTTGGGAGGGTGTAGGCTACGTTGTCAAAATCCCAAACAATCAGTCCGACGAGGTCACTATAGAACTTCGTAAAGTTGGTAGCGACAAATCAGTCCCTACAGAATGCACTCATAATTTCTCTGCCGATTATGTCTGGAAAGCCACATCCTACGATCGCATGCAATTCGCGATGAAGACGTTTGCTGTAGACGAAATGAGCGTTTCAGGCTACATTTTCCACAAACTATTAGGCCATGAGGTCGCTGCTGCCCCTATGAAGATCCAAATGCCAAAAAAATTCAGCGTTCCTGGCCTTCCAGAACTAAATAGCAGTCAGATAAGTGCTGTAAAAAGTGTTCTTCAGAAACCTCTGAGTCTTATTCAGGGACCTCCCGGTACAGGAAAAACAGTTACATCCGCAACAGTGATCTATCATCTTTCAAAAGTTAATGGTGGTCAGGTTCTTGTTTGTGCCCCGTCGAACGTCGCTGTTGATCAACTTTGCGAACGTATACATCGCACAGGACTTAAGGTAGTTCGGTTAACAGCCAAGTCTCGAGAAGATGTAGAGTCTTCTGTTGGCTTCCTCGCTCTCCACGAGCAGGTTCGCATGAACGATAGCAACGTCGAGCTTATGAAGCTCGCACAGCTCAAAACAGAACTCGGTGAACTCTCAAGCCAAGACGAGAAAAAGTTTAAGGCACTAACTCGTGCTGCTGAACGTGAAATTTTAACGAATGCCGATGTAATTTGTTGTACTTGCGTGGGTGCTGGTGATCCTCGCCTTGCGAAAATGAAATTTCGCACTGTCTTGATTGATGAATCAACTCAATCTGCTGAGCCTGAGTGTATGATCCCCCTTGTTTTGGGTTGCAAACAGGTAGTGTTGGTTGGAGATCATCAACAATTAGGACCCGTCATCATGAATAAGAAGGCAGCTAAAGCTGGTCTTAATCAATCTTTATTCGAGCGACTAGTCATGCTAGAAATGCACCCAATTCGGCTTAATATCCAGTATCGCATGCATCCATGTCTCTCAGAATTTCCCTCAAATATGTTCTATGAGGGAACTCTTCAGAATGGTGTTACCATGCAGGAGCGTCTTCGCTATGAAGTCGACTTTCCCTGGCCAGTTGGTGATACGCCAATGATGTTCTGGTCAAACCTTGGAAATGAGGAGATTTCTGCTTCTGGAACTTCTTATTTGAACAGAACTGAAGCCTCTAATGTAGAGAAAATAGTGACGCGATTTTTTAAGGCTGGTGTTCAACCTGATGATATTGGAGTCATTACTCCCTACGAAGGTCAACGAAGTTATGTCGTAAGTTCTATGCAAAACACCGGAACCTTTAAGAAAGAAAGTTATCGAGAAATAGAAGTGGCTTCCGTCGATGCGTTTCAGGGACGGGAGAAAGACTTTATCGTCCTATCTTGTGTTAGATCGAATGACCATCAAGGAATAGGGTTCCTGAGCGATCCACGGCGGCTCAATGTTGCCCTCACACGAGCTAAGTATGGGCTAGTAATTTTGGGAAATCCAAAAGTTTTATCCAAACATCCACTGTGGCATCACTTACTTTTACACTTCAAGGAGCGTAACTGCCTCGTAGAGGGCCCTCTTTCGAATTTACAAACTTCGCTTCTCCAGTTTAGTCGTCCCAAAACAACATACCGCGGGCCCCAACGCTACCAGATGTCACACCCTGTCTTCAATGGCCACTTAACAGCTAATGGTAAAGGCATCTCTGACTTTAGTGACGCAGGATCGATGCTTGGATACATTGCTGACGACGTCTCATCTATTCATTCTTCAGCCCTTGGTGGAGTTGGCCTTGGATCTGCCTATCCACAGATGTTCTCAAACTTCGTACCAGAAGCTTGGCCTGGTCTAGATCCTCGTACACGTCAAAATGGCCAAAAAGCTCGTGGTCGCGCACCCGAAAGTATAGCCGGAGAATCAGTTGCAGCAAGTGAACTTACTGATGCAACCGGAAGCACATTTGACGGGAAGGGAATGGGTCAAGGAGGCGTAAGCTTGGGGCCAAGTCTTCATGATGTTCAAAAACAGACTAGTTTGAACCAGTCAGACCGTCTCAAACGTTATGTTGAGTCTGGGGGTCGTATTGCAGATTATAAGATGAGTGATACCGCTAGTGTTTTTGGAAGCAGCTCACTCCTCAGTGGTCGCCGTCTTGATGACGATGAAAAGAGTGTCTCAACCGCATTTGCAAGTCAGATAGGAGGTGGATATGACTGATTCCTAAAAGTGTCCGTACAAGGACATAGACTTTTGATAAACAAAGCAAGGAACTACTAGGTCAAGATGGCTTTCGGCCGATACTCCTGCCAGCTCCAGGGCTCTAGATCATCAATGGACCCCACCAGACGTCACTGATGAGTAAAATGAGCTTGCTTCTCATTAGTCAAAATCTTGGCTGAAGACAGGCACTCCCTGATCAGTTACCAGACCTTGGAGGGTTGACAGACAAAGAGAGAGTCTTTGATGTGGTTGCCGATTGGCTAATCGATTGATATCGTCCTGCGGTGGAGAAGAGAAAGAGGGATGTAGGGAAAAGGAGAATTACACGATTAGGAAGTTCACCAGTGGTATTGAGCATAATCTTATTAAGCTGCTGCGTGAGCTTTTCGCCAGTGAGATGGTCGTTTTACACATAGTCAATTTACAGTCTTGTTACCAGATATAATATCCTGTGAAATGGGCCCTAAACTCCTAAAGCTTTTTTAAGACTTGAGTTCTGCCAAGTCTCTATCTGTATGAAACCAGGGCCTACAGTGGGAATATGAACTAGTCGTCTCACGGATAGCTCGATTTCTTTTGTATAAAATACCTCCGACGTGAGGAAATTTCATGCCCTGTCAAATTGTGTCTACCTAAACCTATCGCGCTACTATCCTTCTGGAACAATATTTGTGTCCTGGTGTAGGGGGAAAATGCTCAAGGTCTTGGGCGGCCGGCAAACCTCAAAGCTGTCTGTGCCCCATCAGTTCAGGCTAGCTTATCAGGTCTGCCCGGATGTGATTGTCGATGGCCATACTTATTAATTAGATGAAAATTTAAGAAATCTCTTGCCTAGAATTGATTCAGAAAACCAATATCTAACCCTCTCTGCTTGAAGCAGAGTGTAGTTTAACCATACGACATAGTCTCTATTACTGCAAAATAATTCACGTAGGAGGTAGATCTGATTTTATGAAGTTTTTAATCTATTTTGATATAACCTCGTATTGGTGCTAGAATGACAGGCATCTTACACGATACTTTCTTATTGCATATGGGTACAGGAGCTTTAACACTACCATCTAAATACCTTTAATTTTGTCGTACACAGGAATGCCGGCTGCTTAGATGTCAATATCCACCAAGGTAGATCAAAGAATCTCTCATTGTATAAGGTGTGAGCTGGAATAGATGCGGGGCGAAAACCTTTTCTGGTCACTCCCATCTGATGAAGAGAAATGTAAAAATCTGTGAACAATTGTACGCACCTAACCATTCCTTCAGGCTCGGCTGTTCTCTGATTCCTCTCCTCTTTTATCACGAGACCTGAAGCTTCTACTACGCAGATATCTCGAAAGGATCTCAACCATAATTCGGGCCAGCAGTTATTAATAGTTGTTTCCTTGTCCGTAAGTTCTATCGCAAGATTGGGGGTGGTGTTGGCATTGACCTCTTTTTTTCACTCTTCACAGACCCAACATTTCCGACGATTGTTCCAAGCCCGATCGAGCCAGACTTTGGAGTAGGCCCAAGAGTCCATGTGCCTAAGGGTGTGACCGCGAATGTTTGTGTGAACTCCTTCCATATAGCACTTGTAGATGTGCCAACCGTGAATAGGCTACCCGCGTTGGTGACAGTAGGATACTGAGAAGGAGCAGGGGAAATAGGAATAGCGCCACCGCCGGCTGCTACCCTTCTTTGAATAAATGGATTGCGAGCATGCATTGCCTTGAGAGGAATAGAAGGATTCGACGATTCTGTTGTGTCGTTCCCCATTTTAAGCTGGCTTTCGAGAAACGTTTGATGCTCCAGTGGTTGCATCGGTTCAGCAAATGATGCACGTTGAGGTGTCAGAGCAGTGACAATCGATATGAAGAGGCTAGTGAAGGTCAAAAGTAATTGAGATGACGGAAGAAACATGTCTGAAAGGGTTGGTAGAATTTCGCAAAACTGAGATGACTCGTAGGTATTAAAATTTTAACATCAATAATAGTTAAGCCGGTTATTTGATGAAAGCCAAATGCTCCAATTATGGAATTCGCATAAATTAAAGTAGCGCCCTTTGTTAATAGCAAGGGCGATGTTGTAAATACGTTGAGCCTTGGAAGTACTAATCTGAAGATAACTGTGTAAAATTATACCGGAACTAGTTCGTAAGGGACGTGAGAGGGTTGTATTGGGATTAACGAGTGTTGCATGTATATGATTGTAGCAGGAGCAAGGACTTAGGGTTATCAATATCGGGGAAGGAGGAAATGATGGCCAAAAGAAATAAAGGCGTCTGAAGAACTTTGCCGTCAAGCTTTGACCAATTGCGATCAAGCTCTTCCGAGAATCCCAGTCAGGGGAAGGGAGCATGGAGCTCGCCAGATCTTGACGAGCATCGCCAATTTAACCAGTCAAGCTTTAAATTGGGCCAATGTGGAGACTGGAAGCCCACGAACAAACTGCTGCATCGGATGCATTGAAATAATGGAAGCCTCCATTGAAAATGAGAGCCCTTACAAGATTGCTCTATGATCTCCCTGAAATAAGATACCCTATGATTTCCTTCTGACATTACATCTAAGCCTTCAAATTGCCGCTCATTTCTTCGCCGCTGCATTCGAAACTTTCTGCGCTCACCCAAAGTTCTCCAGTCCGTTCTCCGGTCGCCCCTGCTGGTGAGTTGGAGCCTCACGACGCACGGGCTTTAAGGTCCTATGTCAGTTGACTCACGGATGCAATGTCCCCAATGGCCTGATGAGACGGTTCTGATTCTTGACCGAGCTGTGTCACCGGAAAGCGGGGTGGCTGCTACGTTATTTCCGCTGATCGAACCCGTACCAATGTTCTATTGTAGTATGACCCGATGCATGGGCGTGTGACAGTGCTACACATCAATGTCACCCTTCAAAATTACAATCTCGTGCACCAGCTTTGCACCTCGAATAGTGTAAAATTCTCAGTCACCTCACATCCCATCAAAATATCACTGATATGTATGTCACAGGTTGAAACTTAATCCAAAGCCAAACATTAGACCAGAATAATGTGTAGGTACAGAACAAAACCGGATGTAATGCTCAGGATGTAGCAGCAAGACCGTCACGGGTGGATCTCATTGGAACGGAGTCACAAGCAGATTGGAGATACGTGAGAATGAAGTACGGGTAAGAATATATCAATAATATATTGCACAATTTATCCTAAAGTGCAACCACTTAGTTACTTTAACTTACTTACTGCGCTAGCATCAATAACACAACCAAGCAGGAGCACGAAGGCTGAACACCTGTCAGTGGTTTCCTCTACGAACCTGGGAGTGAAATATTCTCCCAGAGCCGAGATTCAGTCACGACCAAGGGTGGGATGAAATTTTTTGATGGATTTTCGACTTGAAGGAGTTGCACTCGATATTTTGGTCGAAAAATCAGTCGGCAGAGATTTCACAGCCGGAACAACGTCGAACAAAAAGTCATCACTACCAACATACGATTCACGAATGGGCCTAGGTCTACCTGGGGGTCGTATTCAAACATCCGACATCTCTTAAACTTCTTTTATACTTGCGACGAAGCATTTCTCAATCGATCCTACACCTGCGACCTACCTCTATACCCGTCCGATCACCTACCTACACACGCCCTAATGAGGAAAGTCATGATGAAAACTGGACGTGTTCAAAGGAGGAAGAAGAGGGAAGATACACCGAGGGGATTACACAAATCCCCAATGACGAAAACAACCCAACGGTACGATATGAAGGTGCAAGGCTAGAGCAACGATGAGATCTTGGACGGCATTTATATTTCGGAGTCAATGAGGATGAGGAATTTGCGCTACGGCGTGTATACAGCGGATTTCTGGGCGGTCAGGCTTGGTGTGATTCAACACATAGGTGAAGTTTGAGGTGGTCCGATCATTTAAGTGGGACGAGGTACAGTCAGACTCCTGTTAAGACGATGTAATCGGGGCCGAAAAATTATCGTCATGTGGAGGATATCGTTTAAAAAGATATGATTATCTAATCGAGCTATCTAGGATACTTTTTACCTTTAATGCCTCTTTGATACACCCAATTGCCGTCTTTAATCGCTCCAATACCCTCAAGGTCAGGCCAGTTTCCAGCTCGCTGTCGTAGCGCAGTAGTTCTTGTAGCTTTGCGAGTTTCGCAAAGGTCTTTCTCAAGGACTCGGAGACTGTGAACTGGCTTAATCGATGGCCGTACTCAGTGAAGAACCACTCAATGCACTGTTTTTGTGTTTGTTTTGGGACCTGGCGGTGCGCCCATCGTCGTAGAGCACGTCGTTGCTCTATAGAAATTCCCTTTTTTGGCGGCATTTGCAGCACCAATCTACCAAATAAACCCTGGTTAAGACGATATTCAGAGGTTGAAGAACAATAATCGAGTAATCGGTAAATGTATGGGAACAAAGTCCGTTCCGGAAAATATATTGTATAAACGACAATATCTTCTTAACCATGGTCGTCTTAACAGGGGTCTGACTATATATCTGTACTTCACGGAAGTTAACCTGATCCGGCCCGACCCCACTTGTGCTTAAGCTCCAGTAGGATTTTGATTTTGATTGGATTTAACGTCGTGCCTATCTACAGCCCGTGACTACCGTCATGCGTTGGACGGCCCAGTCCCTACAGAACTTCCCGACCAACAATCCCCAGAGACAAAATCGAAGAACAATACTGCACAGAGTCACAAATTCAATATCCAATCACTCAATTCAGAATGCCTCCGCCGAGACGGAAGAAAGCCCGTGGGGTGTCCCAGCCCCTGAAGCCAGCGGGCCCTGGTACATCAAAAATCGTGAAAAATCGCGATTTTAACCTCAATAAGACAGCCGTCATAGAAGCTCTTACTTTCAAACACCCGTCAAATATGGGCAACTCTGATGAGAATTTCCAAGCAGAGAACATCGAGATCGATTCCGATTCAGAACTATCATCAGCCCCCGACGACGAGACAATGCTAGATGATACAAGCTCTTATCCTTCAATTGAACTGACGCCTACTATACAGCAGTCACGAACCAAGGAATCGTCAAACCCCAGAATGGCCCTAAAAGGTCTACAAAATTCTATACATGCAAGTCCTGCAGCTAGAGCCCCCCCGCCCAATAGTGAGGGAATAAACCCACCCGCCGTAAATAATCGGCGCGTTACATCTCAGCTTCCCCCAAATTCAATTAACGAATTAGCAGCAGTGCTGACAGCCTGGCAGAATGCAGGAGCAAAACATCTAAAGAACCTCCCCCATCTATCGCCGCAGATCCGCGAGCCATTACCACCAGGAGTGCTGCACGTATCATTGCCGGCCTGCCAGTTTTTGATGAGCCTGGTAAACAACAAACCGCCCCCTCCCACAACACCATCAAAATAGATACGCCAGATATAAGATCACAAGAGGAAAGAGCGGCTCCTTCACGAGCTCCCACATACGCAGCGGCTGCCCAAAGAGGTAGCAGAGCTCCAAGCCCAAAAAAACCCCTTCGGCCAGAAGGCCTCTCACACCAAAGCCTGACGCCAGAGCCATTGTTCGACTACCCACGGAACACCCCCATCCGTAGTGAGGATTCACTTCTTGTAAGAACCAAGCTACGCCGACTACTAAGCCGTCTAGAACTTATCAAAGACATCCGAATGGTGCCCACAGGGATAGCTCTAGTGGCCCCTACCCCCTCACAAGCTCAGGACCTACTTGAAGCAGCAAATGATCTCAAACCTATTACAGGCGAGGTACTGATGGAAAGACAATAGAAAAGATTAAATTACCTACTTGGCCTGGTACCCAAATACGGATACAATGCTTGGGGAAATCACGAGGCCCTTACATATGACGAGATCTGACAGGAACTCGAAACAGAGAAAATTAGCTCAGAATCAATATACGCAATGTCATGGACTCGTAGGTCCAACGAATCCTCAAATAGCGATGGTACACTGCGATTAGTAATCAAAGCCTCATCTATCAAGAACCTCCCCAACTACGTACGTCTCTTTGCGAGAGGAGCTCGACCTAGACCCGCCGACGACCGACCGCAAATTCCCACCTGCTCCAACTGCCATGGATTCCACAACGTTAACACATGTACTCGTAGGCCTCGCTGCGCCCTCTGCGCTGCTGAACCACATGATGGTACTTGTAGCACCCTTCCTAAATGCTTAAACTGTCGTGGACCGCACCCAACAGCTACAGATAACTGCCCCGCCAGACCTCGCCGTGAGAATGGAACCCTTGTTTGTCCTGACAAGGAAAGACTACGGCAAATACGTCAACAAGGCCACAAAGCTTGGCAGGCCAAAAACCCTCTAACAACCGAAGTAGCTGAAAAGCAAAACGACAGCTCAACACCCAATGACAACATGCAGACATGCGAGAGCCCCATTATCACAGCACAGGATACCCCGACGCGGCTTCCCTCTCCCACAACTGAAATACAACTTCAATGGTCCGAAAGCGAGGACATAAAAAGCAGACAACCACTGGCCTCTGCATCTTTCAAACCAATGTTGCAAAATGCGGTCCAGCCCACGACGCTGCCCTTGTACTAGCTTCACAATCCGGGGCTGATATTATATTTATACAAGAGCCATGGATTTACACAGAAATCTCTCAAAAGAGAACTAAAACCCACCCTAACTACCTTGCTTTTGCTCCGCTTGTAAACTGGACGAGTCGACCCAGGGTCATGACCTATACACGAAAAGGGCGTGGCCTCTCGCCGTTTCAGCCAAGTATCCACTCGAGAGACTTACTAAGAGTCTGTATCCAGCGAAAGGGGAGGCCAATGATTGATTGCTGGAACATCTACAACGCCCCCACGGGCTTCAATGACGCAGGGGAAGGTCTGCGCCTACTTTTGAGGCTTTCGGATACCCCAGACATTCTTGCCGGAGACTTCAATATTCACCACTCGGTA